GAGGAGTGGAAGCAGCAGCAGCTGATGAGGTATGGACCCTGGGGGCCAGCACCTCGTGCCCTGTGAAGGGGGGGGATCTGCAGCAGGGCCCTGCAGTGCTGACACCCCGCTCTGTCCCACAGTGGCATGGCAGAGAGGAATGCCAACTTCGAGGCGCTGCCCGAGGACTGGCGCGCGCGGCTGAAACGGAGGAAAACTGCCTCGAGCACTTGAGGCACGTAGTGCCACACACCAAGCTCTTTTTTTTTTACAGATGTACAGTTCCCTTGACCATTGTCCAATAAATTGTGGAAGTTTGGGAAGGGCCAGCTGGCTGATCCTGCTGGGAGCGGGTGGTAGACTGGCATGGGGGGCAGAATGAGAGCCTTGTAATTCAGGATATTCAGGATGAGGGGATCAGGGGCACCCTCAGTGAATTCACAAATGACACGAACTTGGGTAGTATGTGGACCTGCTGGAGGGCAGGAAGCTCTGCAGAGGGGTCTGGACAGACTGGATCCATGGGCTGAGGCCAACGGTGTGAGGGTCAACAAGGCCAAGTGCTGGGTCCTGCCCTTGGGTCACCACCACCCCCAGAACACTCCAGGCTGGGGGCAGAGTGGTGGCTGTGTCCCAGCTCCTGGAGCTCTCGCACTCTTGGGGCCTGCGGGATGCCTCTGGGGAAGGGAGGGAGGGTGGGGGCACGAGGGGGCTTTGGTGGGGGGCCAGTCCTGGAGCCATTCAGCAGCTTTGTGCACATCCACACTTCCACGGCTGCTGCCGAGGTGAGCCCTGGCTGCGGTGGGTGTCCCCTCTTGCCCCCAGCCCTCTGGCCGCAGTGCTGCTCCCCTCAAGGCCAGAAGATGGGCAGGGAAGAGACCCCCGTGTCACCCCTCTGGGCAGCATCTACATGTCTGCACCACAGGCAGTGCTGGCTCCGGCCGGCAGTGGAGTCCTGGGCATGAGCCGAGCTGTGACTGAGAGCCTGCAGCCTCACACAACACCCAGCACCGCGTCTGGGGGGGGCTCTCCCTGTCCCTGCCTTGCCTTGGGCGCATGTCCCCACCCCAGCCACACCGGAGCCCTTCCTGGTGCCGGAGCAGAGCCCCTGCTGGGACCCGCCTGCCCCCTTGTGCCCCGGCCTGCTGGCGCCCGTTCTAATTGCAGCGTCCCCGCGGGGGCCCCTTGTCCCCCAGAGGCTGCTGGCAGCTGGCCCCGGGCCACCCTGGTGTCCCCTCAGCCCTGTCACCGTGGGGTCCCCGCGGGCCCCGTTGCCATGGCAATGCCGCCGTGGCGACCCGGCCGTTCCCATGGCAACTCCGCTGCGTCCCCGCTGCGCCCCCTGGCGGCCGGATTCGCGTCACGGCGGCACCGGAAGTACCGGGGGAGGCGGAAGCGGAAGCGGCGGCGGCGGCGGCCGTGTCCTTCTGTGCCGTGACGCCGGGGCGGCACCATGGCGGACGCGGCCTCGCAGGTGCTGCTGGGCTCGGGGCTCACCGTGCTCTCGCAGCCGCTCATGTACGTGAAGGTGCTGGTGCAGGTAAGGGCTGAGTGGGCGGGGGGTGCGGGGCTCGGTACCGGCCGCGGTAGGATGCAGCCGCCTGTCCCCGCCGCAGGTGGGCTACGAGCCGCTGCCGCCCACCCTGGGGAGGAACATCTTCGGCCGCCAGGTGTACCAGCTGCCCGGCCTCTTCTCTTACGGTGAGTCCGCCCCGGTGGGGCCGCCCCGGTGCAGCCGTGGGGTCCCCCCGGGGCTGGGCTGACGGTCCCCGGTGTCCCCAGCCAAGCACATCGTGAAGGTGGACGGAAGAGCGGGACTCTTCAAAGGCCTGGCCCCGCGGCTGTGCTCCAGCGCCATCGGCACCGTGGTGCACAGCAAAGTGCTGCAGGTACCGGCACGGGCAGGGGCAGCCGGGGGGGCTCTGCCGCCGGGGACGGGGTCACCGGGACCCCCCGGCGGTGCTGACCCTGCCCTTTGCTCCACAGCACTACCAGGAGGCCGAGCAGGCTGAGGTGGGTGCAGAGGGGCTTCCCTCGGGAAATCTTCCTTCTCTCCTTTCTCCATCCCTGCCTTCTCCTTTCTTCCCCTCTCCATTTCTCTGTCCCTTCCCTCCATCCCTCCCTTCTCCCTCTATGATTTCCCTCCCCCCTTCCCACTCACCTTGGCCTCGGGCAGACTCTGCCCTGCTCCCGGAACGCTCCGGAGGGAGGGCCAGGATCTGCCAACCCCCTCACGTGTCTGGATGGACCGTGGGTGGTTCCCCCCTGACCTTTCCTCCCTCCCAGCCTGGAGCCACCAAGAAGGAGCCGGTGTCGTCGCTGGAGCAGGTACTGAAAGAGGTGAGGAGCAGGAGCAGGGGGGTGGCTCTGGGGTGTCCTGGCCCCGGCCCCTCCCAGTGACGCCCCGTTTGTCCCCAGACCTCCCGGGAGATGGTCGCCCGCTCCGCTGCCACCCTCATCACCCACCCCTTCCACGGTAGGTGCCTCCTGACCCCGGGGGCCGGGGAGGGAGGGCCAGGTGCCCCCTGTCCCCCCGATGTCCCCGCTGTGTCCCCAATGTCCCCGTGTGCCCACAGTGATCACCCTGCGCTGCATGGTGCAGTTCATCGGCCGCGAGACCAAGTACAGGTACGGCCTGGGGGGCTCGGGGGGGGGCTGGGGATCCCAGGATCCCCCCAGCTCATCCATCTTCTTCCTCCCCTTCCCAGTGGGACACTAAGCGCCTTCACCACGATCTACCGGGAAGAGGGAATCCTGGGATTCTTTGCGTGAGTGCCGGGGGTGGGGGGGGCATGACGCTGGTACGAAGGTGTGGTGGCCCTTCTTGGGAGCATTCTGGTCCCTCCAGCAGCTCCTGTGTCCCCTATGGATCATCCATCCAAGCATCCCTGCCTGCGGGGGGGTGGCTGTGCCCCCGTCACCCGCCTGCTCTGGGAACAGCCCCACCCCACCATCCCAAAGGAGCTGTTCCCAGCTCTCTGCACAGCCACACCCGAACCCTCAGCTAACATTCCCGCTGTTTCTTCCTTTCCAGCGGCCTCATCCCGCGGCTCCTCGGGGACATCCTGTCCCTGTGGCTCTGCAACATGCTGGCCTACCTCATCAACACGTATGCGCTGGAGAATGGGGTACGGATTCCGGGATCCAGGGGGACAGGGGCTGGCGGGAGGAACCTCCAGGGATGGTCCAGGGGGCCACAACCCTCTTGTGGGAGAATTCAGGTGCCTCTCCTCCATCCACAGGTCTCCACCATGGCTGAGATGAAGAGCTACTCGCAGGCAGTCACTGGGGTGAGTACAGCACACGGGTGGGAATTGGATCCTTTCCCTAGGGAATGGTGTGCTCCCAAAATCCTACGGCTGCCACGGTGGGCATGGAGCCAGGCTGGGATCAGCTGGATCAGCTCACAGGCCAGGGGATGCTCCATGGAGGACATGTGTCACCCCATGGAAGTGGCAGCAGTGGGCTCCCTCCCTGGGGTACAATTCCCAGGGGATCTTTAGGGGCTGGTTCTCCCCACGCAGAGGGAAGAAGGAACATCCTGTTATCCCTGCTTTTCCTTGCAGTTCTTTGCCAGCATGCTGACCTACCCCTTCGTCCTGGTGTCCAACCTGATGGCCGTGAACAACTGCGGGTGAGTCCCTAATCCCGGGAACATCCATGTCCCTCTGCCTGGATCAGCTCCTGGAACCACCTTTCTGAAGTTCCCAGATGGAAAAGGTGTTTCCAGCTCTCCACAGGGTTGATCCCTCTTTGATTGGGGCGGCAAAGCTTTTTGGGTTCAACCTAGTGTGGAGCTGTGGAGGGGACGGATCCCACCTCCCCGGGTGGGAATGATTCCCTGTGGGAGTAATTCCCGGCGGGTCTCCCCTCCCTTCCCCAGGCTGGCTGGGGGTCTCCTTCCCTACGCACCCACCTACTCCTCCTGGCTGGATTGCTGGAGCCAGCTGCACAGGGAGGTAAGTGCTGGAGCCGGGATGCACCGGGATACACTGGAATGTGGTGAGGAGCCGGGTGGGAGCTCCGCGGGGTTTGGGGGGGCCACACCAGCTCTCATGTGGCTGATCCGTGGTCGTTTTCCCTTTCCAGGGCAACATGAGCCGAGGGAACAGCCTGTTCTTCCGCAAGGTGCCGGTGGGGAAGCGATACGTGTGGGACGAGCGGAGGTTCCGCTGATTCCAGAGGCGGGAGCGGATTGTGGAGCTGATGCTGGGCTCCGGAAGCAAAGAATCATGGAGAGTGATGATTTCTATACAGTTTTTTAAAAATCATTTCCTGCTGAGAGCTGAAAGTGCATGTGTGAGAGTCTTTTTTTCACAGGGGTTTCCCAGGAAGCAGGGCTGACAGGTCTCCAGCATTCCCTGATTTATCCAGGAGCCTTTTTCCCAGCCTCAGACACTGCTGAGGCTCTTTACACAGGGGAAATTCCCCCGTGAGGTGACAGCACCTGGAATTGTCACCCCCTTACAAAAAACCACCTGTGCTGAGATGGGCTGTGCAGGGGGCCTCGGTTTCCCCTCGCTCACTCCAGGTGTTCTCCAGGTAGGACATCCAGGGCAGAGTCCTGACACTCCCAGGCACAGAGGGACAGCGAGGGTGTGGTGGCACGTGGGGGCTGTGAAAAGGGGAAGGAAATGTACAACACCTGGCAGGGTTGGAAAGGTTTAGAAGTGTACACCGGGAAGGGGTTTTTGGACACCTGGAGGGGTCACTGCAAAGCCCACGGAGGGGGGTGAGGTGAGGGTTGCACACCCTGGTGCGAGGTTTGCACACCCAGGGGTGCGTGTAAAGCTGGGAGGGGAGTCGCACGCCTGGCCGGGGTTGTTGCACACTGGAGGGGGCTGTTGCACGGCCGGAGCAGGACTTGCACACCCGGCAGGGACCTTGCAAAGGCAGCGGCCGTCGCACACCCAGCCAGAGGATCACACGCCTGGCAGGGGCATCGCAAAGCCGGCGGACGAGTTTCGTACCTGGCGGGGGCCGCGTCACACCCGGAGGAGGTTGTCGCACACCGGGCGGGGCCGTCGCGCACCCGCGGGGCCGTTCCCCGTCCCGGGACGGCCGGGGGCGGGCTCGGTCGGGGGAGGCGGAGCCGGTCCCTCCCTTCCCAATCCCCGTGCCGGCGCCATGGCGGGCCCGGGCGGTGCCGGTGCCGGTGCCGCGGACGCCGGGGATGTGCTGAGCGGCGGCAGCGAGCGGCGGTGCCGGGCGCGGCTGGCGGCGGGGGGCGCGGGGGGCGCGGCGGCCGCGGCCGCGGTGCTGGTGCCGCTGTGCTCGGTGCGCGGCCGCCCCGCGCTGCTCTTCACGCTCCGCTCCCGCCGCCTCGGCGGCCCCCACAGCGGCGACGTCAGGTACCGGCGGGGGGAGCGGGCGCCGGGGCCGGGCCGGCCCTGACCCCACCCCGATCCCTCCCGCAGCTTCCCCGGCGGGCGGCGGGACCCGGCGGACGCGGACGCGGTGGCCACGGCGCTGCGGGAGACGCGGGAGGAGCTGGGGGTGGCGGTGGCAGCAGCCAGCGTGTGGGGACAGCTGCGGACCCTGCCCGACCGGGTACCGGGCACCGGGAGCGCGGGGGCGGGACAAGGGCGCGGGGGGGGACAAGGACACAAGGGCAAGGGGCAGGAAATCGGTGACGGGAACACGGGTGACAGGTTCGATGATGGGTGATGGGTTCGAGGTGACGGGGACAAGGGTTATGGGTGACAGGGACACGGGTGACGGGAACACGGCAGCAGGGACACAGAGGAGGGCTTCCAAGTGACAGGGGCAGAGCAGCAGGGACACGGGTGATGGGGTTCTGGGTGACAGGGACGAAGGGGCAGGGTCCTGGGTGATGGGGTTGAGGTGATAGGGATGGGAGCTTCCGTGTGACAGGGGTTTGGGGTGACAGAGACAAGGCAGCAGGGACACAGGTGACAGGAGTTACAGGTGACAGGGACAGGCAGCTGGGTCACGTGTGATAGGGAACTTGGGTTAACAGGGACATGGGTGATAGGTTCAGGATGACAGGAACAAGGCAGCAGGGACATGGGTAACGGGTTTGGTGTGACAGGGATGCAAGTGACAGGGCTTACAGGTGATAGGGACAAGTCAGCAGGGACACAGGTGACAGGAGTTCTGGGGATTTAGGGTGACAGGGACACAGGGCAGTGGCTGCAGATGAAGGGGGGGTTTTGGGTGACACACACATGGTGGGGGCCTGGGTTGGGTGCAGGGGGGTCAAGGCACACGGGTGGCACTTTGGAGAGGGGCTTGTCACCCTATCCCTCGCTGACACACCTTCCAGCAAGGAATGACCATAGCGCCCGTCGTGGCCAACCTGGGGCCACTGGAGGCCTTGACACTGACCCCCAACCCCGACGAGGTGGGTGACCCCTCCCTGGGGCCTGCAGCCCTTTACTGGTGTCACTGGGTGTGTCACCACGGTGACCCCCTCACCTGTGCCCGGCAGGTGGAGGAGGTGTTCACCCTGCCCCTGGCTCACCTGCTGCGGGAGGAGAACCAGGGCTACACCCACTTCCGCACGGCCACCGGCTACGGGTACACCCTGCCTGTGTTCCTGAACGGCCCCCACAGGGTGTGGGGGCTCACGGCCATCATCACCGAGCTCACCCTGGAGCTGCTGCTGCCCGGCCGCTACTGCAAGAAGACCCACGTGCCACCCCGGAAACCCGTGGCCTGAGGGAGGAGGGGACAGGGGTGGCTCTGGGGCACCGAAGCCACTGGTGATGTTGCACACTGTGATTCAGTAAAAGCCATGTTTGGAACTGCCCCGGGCTCCAAGTCATGGAGCGTGGCCAGGACAGCTGTCCCCTGGCACTGGTACAGCAGGAGGTGTCCTGGGGACACCGTGGCAGGGAGCATGGACAAAGAGCTGTGTCCATGTGATCCCTCCACAGCCACTGCCTCTGCCCAGTCCCAGACAGGGGCTGCGGAGCCTCACAGAAAGCCACGATCTCCCCTCTGGGGTACCCAGACCCCATGATCCCCGGGGATCCCTTGCTCCAGGGAGGCAGGACCCAAAGCCCCCCCCCATCAGTCCCTTCCCACCATTTAATGTCCACCACGGAGCCCACGAGTGCAGCAGCGTTTATTGAGGCCCCTCCACAGAACCCTCCCAAAGTGCTGCCAGAACCCCAGAATCCCCTGAACCCCCTTCCAGGCAGGAAAAGGAACGGGTGGTCCTGCATCCTTACGCTGATGCCGCTCGGGCTTTGGCCTCCCTGAAGCGCCGCATCCTCTCCTCCAGCTCGGGGCGGAAGTGCCGGATGAGGCCCTGCAGGAGCAAAGGAGCCAGTTACCGGGGCGGGGAGAGGTTGGTGGCCTCCCCCAGGACTCCCCCGGGCCCCCACCTGCACGGGCCAGGCTGCGCCGTCGCCCAGGGCGCAGATGGTGTGCCCCTCGATCTGTTTGCTGATCTCCCAGAGCGCGTCGATCTCGGCCACCTGCGCGTCGCCCCGCACGAACCGCGCCATCACCTTGTTCATCCAGTCCACACCTGCGGGGTGGGGAGGGGTCAGGGCTCCGTGCTGTGCAACCCCTCGCCCCGCAGCCTTCCCCCGGCCTCACCTTCCCGGCACGGGGTGCACTGCCCGCAGCTCTCGTGCTTGTAGAACTCGATGAGGCGGGCGATGGCCTTGACGATGTCGGTCTGGGGGGTGGGAGAGGAGGGTGAGGCGAGGGAGGGGAGGGTGAGGCGAGGGAGGGGAGGGTGAGGCGAGGGAGGGGAGGGTGAGGGGCTGGGGGCGCCGGGCAGGGGGCCGGTCCCTTACGGATTTATCCATGACGATGACGGCGGCTGTGCCCAGCCCGCTCTGCGCCTGCACCAGGGAATCGAAGTCCATCAGCACCGTCTCACACACTGACTTGGGCAGCAGTGGCGTGGAGGAGCCCCCCGGGATCACAGCCAGCAGGTTGTCCCAGCCACCACGGACCCCCCCTGCAAAGAGAGGGGTGAGGAGCAGCCGCTCCAGGCCCGCCCCAGCACGGCACGGTCCAGCCCTGGCACCCACCAGCGTGTTTCTCGATGAGCTCCTTCAGCGGCACCGACATCTCCTCCTCCACCGTGCAGGGAGTGTTCACGTGCCCCGAGATGTTGAAGAGCTTGGTGCCCGAGTTCCGCTCCCGGCCGAAGCTGGCGAACCAGGCGCCGCCGCGCCGGCAGATCGTGGGTGCCACCGACACCGTCTCCACGTTGGCCACTGTGGTGGGGCAGCCGAAAACACCTGGGGAACGGAAGGAGAAAGTTCTTTCCTGGGAGGGTGGGGAAGGCCCTGGGATGGATTTCCCGGGGAAATTGTGGCTGCCCCATCCCTGGAAGTGTCCAAGCCAGTCTGGAGCAACCTGGTCTAGTGGGAGGTGTCCCTGCTCGTGGCAGGGAGTGGGAATGGGATGATCCTTAAGGTCCCTTCTCACCCAAACCAGGCTGTGATTCTATGAAACACTCTCAATGCTCTCAATGGATGTGGTGGTGGCTGTGTCGGTACCCCCGGGGACACTTGGCTTGGGGTAGCAGCTGGGAATTTGGGATGGAGCTGCGGGGCCGTACCCACGTCCGCAGGGAAGGGCGGCTTGAGGCGGGGCTTGCCCTGCTTGCCCTCGATGGACTCGATGAGCGCCGTCTCCTCCCCACAGATGTAGGCGCCGGCCCCGCGCACCACGAACACGTCGAAGGCGTATCCAGATCCGCAGGCGTCGGCTCCCAGCAGCCCGGCCTCGTACGCCTCCTGGATGGCCACCTGCAAGGGGGGCACGGGTGAGCCGTGACCCCCCGCACCGGCTCTGGGGCGCTGGCGGGGTGTTTTTGGGGCGCTCCCCGCACCTGCAGGTTGGAGGCCTCGTTGTAGAACTCCCCCCGGATGTAGATGTAGGCGGCCCGGGCGCCCATGGCCCGCCCCGCCACCAGGCAGCCCTCCAGCAGCTTGTGCGGGTCGTGCCGCATGATCTCCCGGTCCTTGCAAGTGCCCGGCTCGCCCTCGTCCGCGTTCACCACCAGGTACTTGGGTCTGGGGGCGGGGAAAGCTCCGGGACCGGCGCCAGCGGGGGGCTCCCCGCGGGCCCGGCGCCGCTCCCGGCCCCGCTCTCACCTGCCGTCCGGGGGCTTGTTCATGAAGCTCCACTTGAGCCCGGTGGGGAACCCGGCGCCGCCGCGGCCCCGCAGCCCCGAGGTCTTGATCTCGCCGAGGATCCAGTCCACGCCCTTGAGCAGGATCTCCTTCGTCTTGTACCAGTCGCCGCGGCGCAGGGCGCCCTGCAGCCTGCGGGCACCGCGCACGCTGGCACCGGGCGCGGGGCGCCGGGGCCGCGCCCGCCGCCCACCGGGGCTCACTCACCTCCAGTCGTGCCGCCCGTAGAGGTTGGTGAAGATCCGGTCCTCATCCCGCAGCGACCCGAACTGCGTCTTCTTGGGCGCCGTCTGCGGGGACACGCGAGCTCAGCACCGGGAGCACCGGGACCCGGCCCGGACGGTCCTGGAGCTCCCCGCTCACCGAGAAGGAGGCGGCGGGCAGGCGCCGGAGCGCCAGCAGCTGTCGGGCGGCCATGGTGGGGCGGCACCGGGATCGGGACCGGTCCCGGGATGGGGACCGGCACCGAGATCGGGGTCGGGATCGGCACCGGGACCGACCACCGTCACCTTCAGGCGCCCCCGCGGCGACGTCACGGGCAGCGCCGACGGCGCGACAGTGACGTCAGCGATCGGCACCGGAGCGGGGGCGTGGTTAGAAAGCCGGAGGCGTGGTCACAGTCAGGAGGCGTGGTCACGAAGCGGGGGGCGTGTCCTCCAGGACCACGTCGGGTGACATTGGGGAGCGGTCACGGCGGGGGGGCGTGGCCTCCGCGGCGGGGGGCGTGGCCAGGCCGGCGCCCGGCGCCACGTGCCCCGCGCCCGGTGCCGGGTCGGGTTTCGGGCGCTGAAACCAGAGCCCCACACGGGACCCCCCCGGAGCCCCCAGGGCCGCCCCGCTCCCCCCGCCCCGCGCCCCGGGGGGTCGCCGCGCTCCACCCGGTCTCCTGGGCGACACGGCGGGGCCCGAGGACAGCGCTGGCCTCGTCCCTGCGAGGGGCGAGCGCCTGTTCGGAGGGATCTGGTTTCCCCCCTGCGAGACTCCGGTGGTGGGGAGAAGGAGCGGGGAGCAGGCGGGATGTTCTTTCTCTTCCGCGGGTCGCAGCCGCGCGGCACCGGCAGCCCCGTGGCCCCCGGCTGCCGGGGCGGCCCCCGGCCCCACGGGCTCGGCAGGAGGGGCGCCCGCCGCCCCCGCCCGGCCCCGCGGCTCGGGGGTCCCGGCCCCGCGGGGAGCCGGGGGCGCTGGAGCCGTAGCGCTGCGTCCCCCTCGGAGCGGCGGCGGGCCGCCGAGGAGCTGGGGCCCCGGCCGCCCCCCGCTCTTGGGCAGGTAACCGGCGGCGGGGACAGGGCCGGGGCACGGCGGGCGCCGGGGACCCCGCGTGCCCCCGCGGGGAGGCTGCGGGACCGGGGAACAGCTGGGCGGCTCCCCACATCTGGAGCTGGGCGGCCGAGCGGGGAATAATCCGGAGGATTATGCGCGCGGGCGCGGCGCCCCCCCCTTCGCCTGCCCTGCATATCCCCAGATATTCCATAAAAACCTCAAATCCCCGGTGGCAGCCCCGCGGTCTGCGCCAGCCGGCCCCCCCGGGCCAGGCATGTCCTGCGGCGCGGGGGCAGCCCCCAGCCATGGGCAACTGCACCAAGACCCCTGAGCGGCGGCTCCCCAAGGTACGGCCGGGCCGGGCCGGCCCGTAGGGGCAGCAGGAGGAGGAGGAGGAGGGGGGGGTCCCAGCGCGGCCCCCCCGCGCCGCTGATGCCCGCTGTGCCCGCAGGACGGGAAGCCGCGCTCTGGCGTCCCGGGCTCCGGCGGGGGGGACCCGGAGGATGCGCTGGACTCGGCACAGACCCCCACTCTGCAGGGATACTCGGTGCTGCAGGGGCTGGTGGGGCCGGCCTGCATCTTCCTGCGGCAGAGCATCGCCATCACCCAGCGGGTACGTGCCCGTCTCCTCCCCGCGCCGCCCGTGCCCTCGGGGGGGTGAGGGCAGGATCCCTGCGGGATCCCTGGGAGTAGAACCCCTCCTTCGGCTCTTCCCCCTTTCTCTCCCCCAGGACCGGGAGCTGCGGCCCGAGGAGATTGAAGGTAAGGTGCCAGGGAGTGGGTCCCTCCCGGGGGGGTGCGTGGTGGTGCGAGGGGGCCGGCGGTGACGCTGTGGTGTCCCCAGAGCTGAAGCACGCGTTCCAGGAGTTCGACAAGGACCACGACGGCTACATCAGCTACAAGGACCTGGGCGAGTGCATGCGGACCATGGGCTACATGCCCACAGAGATGGAGCTCATAGAGCTGTCACAGCAGATCAGTATGTGGGGGGGCACGGGGCGTCCCCAACAATCCCTGCCCCCCCCCAGCACCATCCTGACACCCCCCCCTCCCACCACAGCCGGGGGCAAAGTAGATTTCGACGATTTCGTGGAGCTGATGGGCCCCAAGATGCTGGCGGAGACGGCGGATATGATAGGGATCAAGGAGCTGCGCGACGCCTTCCGTGAGGTGCGGTGAGGCGAGGGGCGGGGGGGCGGCCCGGCGGGCAGCCGGCATGCCGGCCGAAGGCAGCGGTGGCACCGTGCCCTGTGCCGCAGTTCGACACCAACGGGGACGGGCAGATCAGCATGGCGGAGCTGCGGGAGGCCATGCGCAAGCTGCTGGGGCAGCAGCTCAACTACCGCGAGGTGGACGAGATCCTCAAGGACGTGGATCTCAACGGCGACGGCCTGGTGGACTTTGAAGGTAGTGCGCGGCCAGGGGCCCAGGGGGGTGTCCCGGGGTTGTCTGCGATGTTCCCCATGTGCTTTCCCGCCGGCAGAGTTTGTGCGGATGATGTCGCGCTGAGGGCAGTGTGTGCCAACGTGGGACCCGGGCCCCCCCGTGCCTTACGACGAGGAGGGGGCTGTGCAGGGACCCCCAGCTGCAGGGGCCGGGGCGGTGTCGCCCCAGCCTGGGGTGAGGCCGAGCGCCGGGGCTACTCTGTTGCTGAGCTGCGACTGCGGCGGGAGGCGCCGGGGCCCAGGCCGGGACCCTTTTCGGCACAGACTCGGCCGAGCTTCGACCACTCTCGCTCTCATCTCTGCTCTCTCCCTCCATCATCCCCCTCCCCCCTCCGACCTCACCCCAAATGTCAGACCATCACAGTCTCCTCTCCTCCAGCTGTACCCCCTCCTGCTGCTCGTCCCTGCACCCTCTGTTCCTACCCCGTATCCCACGCTGAGCCCCTTAGGCTCCCCCCACGTTGTGTTTAATGTTGACCCCATGGCACAACCCACTCCATCACACGGTTTGAACTCAGACCTCCCCTTAACCTGCCTAACGTCCTCAGTGCAGGAGATGCTCCTGGGGGCCTCTGCCCCGCCGGGACCCCCTCGAGGAGAGAAACCGGGAATCAGGTGTTCCCAGGCGGAGGGGGCTCGGTGTGCTGCAGGCAGGGCTGGCACGGGTGCCCTTCCTCACCCTGGCTGCAGTTTTGGGGTCAATTCTGCCCTTTGGAAATGAAAAAAACCTCTCTCTGCACACTTCTGGGTTGTGTTTTATGTCGAGTTTCTGTAGGATTGATTAGTGACCGCACCATCCACAGGTGTCCCCCAACACCCAGGACCTGTGTCTCACAGAAGACCCCGGGGACCTGTGCTGGCCCGGGGTTGGGGGTCTGCACGGGGTCCCTGCACGGCGGGAGGCCGGTGAGGCCGGTCACAGGGACACCCTGGGATGTGCGACGGGCTTCACTCCCAGGGTCCGGGCCAGGGTTCCCCCCCAGGGTTCCCTCCCGGGATCAGGGACGGGGTTCCCCCTGGGATCAGGGCTGGGGTTCATTCCCGGGATCAGGGACGGGGTTCCCCTGGGATCAGGGCTGGGGTTCATTCCCGGGACCAGGGACGCGGTTCCCCCTGGGATCAGGGCTGGGGTTCATTCCGGGGATCAGGGCTGAGGTTCCCCCTGGGATCAGGGCTGGGGTTCACTCCCGGGGTTCACTCCCAGGGTTCACTCCCAGGGTCCGCTCCCGGTTCCCCCCCCAGGGGCGGTGCCGCCGGTCACGTGACCGGGAGGGGGCGGGGCCGACGCCCGGGTGTCTCCACGGTGACGGGCGGGCGCGCGCGCGCGCGCGCGCGAGCGGCGGGCGCGGCGACGTCAGGGCGCGTGACGGGCGACGCGCGTGCGTCATCACCGCGAGCGGCGGCGGTGGCGGCGGGGGAAGAGCCCCGGGAGAGCCCCGGGTCGGGCCGGGCCAGCGCAGCGCCACCGGGAACCGGGGCCGCCGCGCTCCGCTCCGGTCCCCGGCGTCCCGCCGGGCCGAGCGGGGCCAAGCTGAGCTGAAGAGAGGCGGACAGCGGCGCTACCACCGGCGGGGCGAGCGCGGGGGCCGCACGCCGACCCCCGCCGGGGGGCTCCAGGCACCCGGGAGCGGCGGGCGGCCGTCGGGGATGTCCTACAAGCCCATCGCTCCCGCCCCCGCCACCCCCGGAGCCGCCAGCGCCAGCCCCGCCCCGCCGGGGCCCGGGGCGCCGTCCGCCGGTGAGAGACCCCCCGGTAACCGCGGGGGGTTGGGGGCGACCGGTGCCGCCGGGGGGCACCGGGGAAGGGCGGGGCGGAGGCGCGGGGCGGGGGGTGCCGGGGCAGGGGGCTGCGGCCGTGACCCTCCGTCTCCCGCAGCCACGAGTGTCCCGTCGCCCTCCGGCTCCGTGCCCGGCGCCGCCGCCCCTTTCCGGCCGCTCTTCAATGACTTCGGGCCGCCGTCCATGGGTTACGTGCAGGTGAGGCGCGGGGCCGCGGGCGGCGGGGCCGGGGGCGGCGTTGGGGGCGGCCCCCAGCGCCACCGTGCCTCCGTGTGCCCCCGTTCCCGCAGGCCATGAAGCCCCCCGGGGCGCAGGGCTCGCAGAGCACCTACACCGACCTGCTCTCGGTCATCGAGGAGATGGGCAAGGAGATCCGGCCCACCTACGCCGGCAGCAAGAGCGCCATGGAGCGGCTGAAGCGGGGTACGGGCGGCGGCGGCGGAGGGACCGGGCGGCCCCCGGGGCTGCGCCCCCGCGGGGCTTCCCCAGCCCCGCTGCGGGGGAACCGGAGAGTGATGTGGGGTGTCCCTGTGCTTCTCCCCGCAGGGATCATCCACGCCCGGGCGCTGGTCAGGGAGTGCCTGGCAGAGACAGAGCGAAACGCCCGCACGTAACGGCAGCTGCCGCCCGGGACCCCCCGGGACCCCCGGTGGCGGCGGGGGGGGGGGCCGCCGTGCTGCCCGCGCCCCCCCCCCTCCCCGCGCTCTCCGCTCTTTATAAATGCCTGTTTTTATAAATAAAGGACAATGTTGGGACTTGGACTCGGTGTGTCCCCCTTCGGGGGGGGTCGCGGTGGGGACACGGGGTGGAGGTGGGGAGGGGGCGGGTCATCGGGGGAGCGTTTGGGGCCGCGCTAGGTGGGTATCCCGGAGCTCAAAGGCGCGGGAATGCTCAAACCTCTGTTTTATAACTTAAAAAGTGGCTTTTTTAAATAAAACCTCCCGTTTTTTCCGGGCGCGGTGTGTGTGGGGGGGCGGCTGTGCCGGTGCACGCGGAGCGCCCGTGAACGGCTCTCGCCGCCTCCCGCTGTCTGACGTCACGGGCCCCCCCCTCCCTGCCTACGTCACGGCCGTTGCCGTGGGAACGGGCTGTGATGTCACGATCCGAGGGACCGGTGCGGAGCGGCGCAGGTTCGGCGGGGCCGCGGCCGGGGGGCGGCGGGGCCGGGGGTGGGCACCAGGCTGGGGGGGGGGGGGGTTTGCCATGGCAACGGGGAGGGCGCCCGAGCCGGGCCGAAGCCGAGCTGAGCGGTGCCGAAGTGAGCCGAACCCGGACCCGAGCGGTGCCGAACTGAGCCGAACCCGCGGCCGAACCCGGGCCCGAACGGTTCCGAAGCAGTGCCGAACCCGGGCCCGAGCGGTTCCCAAGCGGTGCTGAAGCGGTGCTGAGCCGGCCCGAGCTGAGCCGAGCGGTTCCGAAGTGGTTCCGAACCGGCCCGAGCGGTTCCGAAGCGGTGCCGAGCGGTTCCGAAGTGGTGCCGAACCGGCCCGAGCGGTTCCGAAGCGGTGCCGAACCGGCCCTGTGTAACGGGAGCCCCCTCAGGCGCTGCCCCCGCCGCCCCCCGCCGCCGCCGCCATGCTGATCAAGGAGTACCACATCCTGCTGCCCATGAGCCTGGAGGAGTACCAGGTGGCACAGCTCTACATGATCCAGGTGGGCTGCGGGGCTGAGCACGGGGCGCTGCGGGGCGGCGGCTGGGAGCGGAGACTGGGGGGGCTGCATGGAGTGCAGGGGGCTGAGCATGGGGGGCTGTGGGGCTGAGCATGGGTGGGCAAGGGGCTGAGAGACTGAGTGTGGGGAACTGGGGGGATCGGGAATCGGTGGGGCCGAGCCTGGGGAGCTGGAGGCTGAGACTGAGGGGGTCCAGGGGGCTGGGAGAGGCCAGAGGTGATAGTCTGGGGGGCACAGGGTGCTGTGGGGGAGCATGAAGGGTGCGGGGGCTGAGCCTGGGGGCGCACAGGGGGCTTTGAGACTGAGCGTGGGGAGCTGGAGGGTGCAGGGACTGAGAAGTTGAGCCTGAGGAACTGGGGGTGCAGGGGGGCTGTTGGGCTGAACATGAAGATCTGGTGGGCTGTAGGGCCAAGCACAAAGCCTGGAGGGGCACGGTGGGGCCCAGGGATGCTCCCAAGGGATTGGCAGGGTGCAGGGGTGTCAGTGGGGTTCGGGTGGGTTTGGGGCTGCCGAGCCAAGGAGGGGGTCCTGGGAGCAGGTGGGCTGGCGGGGGTAGGAGCGTACGGGGACCCCGAGGGCCCACGGGGGTCTCAGGATCCGGGGGGGCTGTGCCTAGCCGTTGTCTCTCCCCGCAGAAGAAGAGCCGGGAGGAGTCGAGCGGCGAGGGCAGCGGAGTGGAGATCCTGGCCAACCGGCCCTACAGCGACGGCCCCGGGGGCAGCGGGCAGTACACACACAAGATCTACCACGTCGGCTCCCACATACCCAGCTGGTTCCGGGCGCTGCTCCCTAAAGCCGCGCTCCAGGTGGAGGAGGAGTCCTGGAACGCTTATCCCTACACACGCACCAGGTGGGGGCGAGAGGGGGGGGTGGCAGGGTGGGCTGTGGGGCTGGCCGTGCCTCCGGACTCAATGCTGTCCCCCTCCAGGTACACGTGTCCCTTCGTGGAGAAGTTTTCCATCGAGATAGAGACCTACTACCGGCCAGATGCAGGCCAGCAGACCAATGTCTTCAACCTGAGCGCGGCAGAGAAGAGGCAGAGGATTTTGGGTGAGTACGGCTGGCTCGGACACCAGGCAGGACTCGTGGCTGCTGGAATACCCACACGGTGATCCTGGGATGGGGATGTGGGTGTGTGGTGGGGCCTGAGGGGCTCGGCTTCCCTGCTTAGCTTTGCTCTCTGTGCTAGCCCCCGTGTTCTGGGGACCCTGGAAGGGAAGAGCTCCCTGGATCCTGAGCTACCTGCAGCCCAGCCTCCATGCTCCCTGTGCCCCAGACTCCCTGCTCCATGCTCTCTGTGCCCTAGGCTCCCTGCTCCAAGCTCCCTGCCTGCTCCCTCTCAGCACTGCTGAGTTAGATTCCACACTAAAGATATTTTCAGGGCCAGTTTTGTCCTCTGCCCCTTCCTTTGCCTCTGTTTCTGTTCGCAGTCTCCCCTTTTCAGTGCCAGCCTGCTTCTCTCTTCTTCCATGTCCCAGCCCTGTTTTGGCACGGATTTGCCTTCCCAGTCTCTCTGGGTGTATGTGGGACCACGCACTGGCCTCCTGCAGGGTGTTTTGGATCAGCTGGAGTGCAGGGAGCTGCAAAAATGTGTCCCCGTTTTCCCACCCCCCTGCCCTGCTTCCCCTCTCCCCAGGGCTTTGCTCCAGATTGCTCTCCGGCTCCTTTCTGGGGGGAGACCAGCGGGCAGAGCCAGGGGCTTGGGGTGGGATTCCTCCCTCCCTGGCGGGTTCCTGTTCCTGGTGGTGTAGATGTGGTCGGTTCAGGCGCTGGAGCGCGGAGTGTGACGCGCTGCCTCTTAAAATGGAGGCCTAAAATAGGCACTCGGAGGAAATGATTCATCTGACCTATTTCTCTCCCCGGCTCTTGCAGCACTGGGGATGTCCGGCCGGGATACCGGCAGCTCGGCCCTGGGGGGAGGAATTCTGCCCCTGCCACTGCCGGGAAGCAACTGGGGCCCAGCCGACGGCATCAGGGCATGGCCCTGTGCCTGCTGCCTGCTGCCCATCCAGTGGGCATTCCACAAGGCATGCAGCGTCTCCAGAGGCCGATGCCTCCCACAGGGAGCGGGGTTGGAGTGGGACCAGCCCCTACGTGGATCCCGCTGGGATTTTCTTTGCGCTGGTGTCCCGTAGCACCGACAGATTTAAACCCATCTCACGTTTCAAAGGGCGATGGAATAACAGAGTCTGGGCGATCCGCAGGGATAACTGCTTCCTTGGCAGCTTTCTCTCAGTGGTAAAAGCAAAGAGAGTCAGATTGTGGTGGGAATGACGCTGCCAGGAGCTG